CTCACCACCTCTTTCTTACCTACTATTTGCCAATGACCTAGTTTTGTTCGCTAAAGCTACTGAAAAAAATGCCCATACAATTATCAACACCTTCAAACAACTTAATATACACTCTGGCCAACACATTAACTTTTCCAAATCTAAAATTCTTTTCTCCACTAATGTACCAACTTCCACTCAAAGTACCATCTCATCGCTCCTTCACATCAATTCCATCTCGACCTTTGGCAGGTACCTTGGACTACTCATAACCAACACTACACCTACTTCCACTGACTACCAATATCTCATCGACCAATTAACTTGAAGGCTCGCTGGCTGGAAGAATAAGTTTTTTACTTTTGCTTGTAGAACAACCATCATCCATTCAGTCCTAAATTCTATTCCCATGCATGCCATTCAGCTTAATCTCCTGCCATCGAAGACCAACACCAACGAAATTTTCGATGGGGCTCTTCCCCTGACAACACCTTATTAACTGGATAAGATTATTATGCCAAAAATATATGGTGGGTTAGGAATGCCAAAATTATATCTAGAAAACATTGCATTACTTACTTCGCTACTTCGGCGTTACTACAAAAACCAGAATGCACTTTGGGCTTCTACCCATTGCCTTAAATATCACTCCATAGTATACCCCCCAAATATCATATTGACTCCCACATCTACACATTGTGCTTCCTACATTTAGAATAGTGCGATTAAGGCATACCCTTTCTACCAGCAGAGACTAGGCTGGAATATAGAAAATGGAAACCATATCCAACTTTGGTCAGATTACTGGTGTGAGCACGTAATTTTTGCCCTATATGAATTATTTCCATAAAATGCATGAATTTTTTTTTCCAATTATTGCAATTTTATAGGATTTCGTAGAATTTTTATTGATTATTTGCATTTTTGTGCATATTTAATTTCCATTAAAAATCAAAAATATATCAAATTCCATGCATTTCATACTAGTTTGCGTGCTCTAGGATTAATTCGGTAATTAATTGTTGTTAAAATAAAATTAAAATATATACATAATGGTTCCATTTTTTTCCTTTTCTAGTTTTTGTATTTTTCTTTCATTGGACTTAGAATTAAGTAAGTATATTAGCATGAGAATTAGCTAGTTAAATCAACTTCATTATTGGGTTTTGTTTAGGATTTAATTTAGGTTCAATTTTTTTTAGTAATTGGTAATTAGTGTTAAGACATATTAAAACTAAGTCAAATAGTGAGGGGGGGGGGGAAATTTGGACTTAGAGCCGATTTGGCCTCAGATTTGCTGAGCCCAAACCCTTCTTCTTCTTTAAAACCCGCCAATCTAGCTTCTTTACCCAGTCCAGAACCATGCCCCAACCCAACCCAACCGGACCAGCCCTTGAACCCGCCCCATTTCCCTATTTAAATCCCAGCCCTCCATCCCAACCCATCCAACAATTCCTATTCCATCACCCACCCAGATAAAACCCCAATTATAACCCAAAGAAACCGTAATAATTGCGTGGAGCGCCCTATTTGGTTGCCCCCATTTAACCTATATCCATTTTTTTTAAACTTTTTATTTGTACCCACTTTTTAAATAACTTTAGTCCCCTTTCTCCTCCTCCTTCTCCTCCTTTGTTTTCTTCTTCTTTCTTCTGCTGCTGTTGGTGCAGATTATTTTTTAGGTAAAATTTCTTTTAAATTGTTGGTGCATAGAAGTTAAAACTTTCTTTTGTACCTTTATATGATTAAAAAAGAAATTATTTTTCATAATTCATTTTGTGAGTGGAAACTATCAAGATACCATTGTTAAGTGACGACGTCTTTGCATTTTAATTGTATTACAGAGCTCATTATTTGTTCTCGCAATCAGGGATGATTAATTTGCATTTATTTACTTCTTTTTTGGGTTGTTTTGTTAAATATTATTAAGGTGAAAGCTGTTTCTTGTAAAGCTAAATTGAGTATGTTAGCACATAAAAATTCTTGAGCCCAGTACTGAGATTTTACCCCAGAGATTTTAACAAACTAGCAAGTTGTTTGATGGATGGATCCCCAGCTTATTTCAGCAGATCCTATTCTAAAGCTAGATTCCAAATAACTTCAGCTCTAGAGCTGAAGTTCGATAGTTACAAAATAAAACCTTCAACTCTAGGGCTGAAGTTCGCCATTTATAAAAACAAAAACTTCATCTCTAGAGCTGAAATTCTCCAGTTACAAACAAAAACTTCAGCTCTAGAACTGAAGTTCGATAGTTACAAAACAAAAACTTCAGCTCTAGAGCTGAAGCTTACAAACAAAAACTTAAGCTCTAGAGCTGAAGTTCGCCAGTTACAAACAAAAGAGCTGAAGTTCGACAGTTACAAAACAAAAACTTCAGCTCTAGAGCTGAAGCTTACAAACAAAAACTTCAGCTCTAGAGATGAAATTCGCTAGTTACAAACAAAAACTTCAGCTCTAGAGCTGAAGTTCGACAATTACAAAACAAAAATTTCAGCTCTAGAGCTGAAGTTCGACAATTATAAAACAAAAACTTCAGCTCTAGAGCTGAACTTCAGGCCCAGCTACTAGAATACTGAAGTTTTGCGTGATTGTCTTTGCTACTTCAGCCTCGTATGCTGAAGTTATGCGAAAAAGCGGGTACGCTTACAATTTGTTTTGCAAAGTGGACACAAGTTAGAACGTGACACAAAAAGCGGGTATATATGCAAATGCCTCAAAGAAACCTAACCCTAATTTGTGAAGAACCCAAAACGGCGCTGCCATTCCCCCAGCCCTCTTTCTGCTTGCTCAACTCGCTCAACTCGTCTGAGTTTTCAGACGAGTTCGTCCCCCAAACTCAACGCACATGGTCTCCTCCTCTCTCTCCAACGTGGCATAACCGTCTCTGACAGAATATTTTCAGCGTTTGGCCATTTTCACGCGCTCTTGATTTCGGGGGATGAATTTGGGGTAAATGGGAGCGGTTGGATGTGAGAAATCACATCCACGCCTTCCATTTGTCAAAGTTTCGTTCCATGTGAGATTGGGTTTGATTTTTTTCGAATTTTTGGATAAAATTTGGAAATTTCTTGGAGAAGATGGGAGAAGCTTCGAGAGTCGAGTATATATAGTGAGTTTTTCAGAGATTTGAGGAAGAAATTGAGGCTTTTCTTTTTTTGAGAGTTTTCTTTTGCTTGGAGAGAATTTGTTTTGAAGGAAAGCTCCAGGTTAAGCCAAGTTTGGGCGTTATTCTTCATTTTTTTTTTTTGTG